TACAGTCCTTCCAATCCAAAATTCTTAGAAACATAGTCAATAGAATCCACAATGACAAAATGCAAAAAATAATCCCCAAAACATTTTCCACTTTCCACAATAAACTCTACTCTCACCCCAATTGAGTTGCTTGCACACACGCACACATCAAATTTAATTCTACCAAATGGAAATAAACAAATAAAATAAAAAATTATTTTCAATAGTATCTTTTATTATAAAAATAAAAAATTCATATTCGTTAAGTACTAAATTAAAAAAAAATAAATAAAAACGTAATTGAATCCTTGGCATTCTTGAAGTGTTTCTTTGTTGGAAGGAATAATTTTCTAGTAATAATAAAAAGAAAAGAAGGGGAAGTAGATTAACAAGATAGTGCAATTTGCCAAAGTAATATGCATAGAATATGAGTAACATGAAATGAATTTGTGAGAAAACCTTCAAACTTCAACTGTTATTTTCTCCTCAATCTAACATATTTTAGGATTTTAACATGCGGTTTTCTTCAAATAACTACATCCCGAATTCAACACTAGCATATTTGAACGTTTGTAGAAATATAACCACTTGAACAGTTCAAATTGGGATTACATTAGCGATTGAATCGAATTCAGAAGAAAATGATCAAAACAAGTGTATCTCTGAAAATGTAAATTTTATAGGTTAAAGTCATTTTTGGCCTTGTTATAGATCAATTAATTGTAGCAACACAGATGAGTAAGTACAGAAGAGAACGAGATACCATAAATCCACATTTGGGTTTTTAATAAAACAAAAAAAAATTAAGGAGCTGAATATATTATCACAATTAATTCAGTTCTAAAGCCGTCGACAAAGTCACAAAACAACCGTTCAAGAGGTTTGTATCTTCTGAGTCATACTTCAGGAAGGTCTCCGAGATGCAAGGTCATCACCCGGGCGATGTCCGTTTTTTAGTGCCACTTCGCTTTGGAATTGGCACAGCACATTCTCGATACCTACTCGGAAACGCCGATCACCTCTTTGGAATCCAACAAACTGTTTCCAGCCGATTCGAGATAAAACAGTACATATAAAGTATTTAATAGTAAAGTATTTGAAATGAGAAGCCAAGTAGAAAAGGTCTGATTGGAAAATCAACTTGTTGATATGTTTATTTAATATTCAAATGTAATCGACTCCAGTCGAAAGTTCATCAATGGGTCGCCTGGTCTGTTTGGTCTCGTGTAACAACCGCCAGCCAAAGCATAGAGGTCATTTACCATCGTCAACTATCGGGTTGTCCGGAAAATAATGCAGGATTTTAAGTTTTCATTAAAAAAAATCTATATAAAATATTCTGTTTACGTTTACAGGATTACTCATTTGTATGAATGTCAACACTTATTAATCCTCTTCCAAATGATATTGTTTGTTTACCTCTGTAGCATTCCGCTACTTGGAAATAATTCAGTCATCCTTATAATGTCAAAGCGAGAATTTCGTACGATTTTCTTTTACGAGTTTAAACTCGGCCGAAGCGGAGCCCAAACGGCTAGAAACATTAACCAAGTCTGGGGCGAGGGTTGTGTTAATGAGTGCACTGTGCAAAGGTGGTTTAAAAAATTTCGGGAGGGAGATTTCAGCCTTGAAGATGAAGAAGGTCGTGGAAGGCCTTCCTCTCTTAATGATGATGTTCTGCGATCAGTGGTGGAAGAAAACCCCAAAACAACTGTTCGAGAACTTGCAGAGCAACTCAAAGTCAGTAAAACGACCGTCGCTGACCACCTCAAGGCGATTGGAAAAGTGAAAAAACTCGAAAATTGGGTTCCACACTCATTAAACGATCGCCAAAAAAATCAGCGCTTTGATGTTTGTGCATCACTTCTTTGTCGAAACAAAAATGACCCATTTCTGGCCAGAATTGTTACATGTGACGAAAAGTGGATTCTCTACGATAACACTAGACGTTCTGGACAGTGGCTCGACAAAGGAGAAGCTCCAAAGCCCCCAACTCATCAAAAAAAGGTAATGGTTACGGTATGGTGGGCTTCATTTGGTTTAATACACTACAGCTTCTTAAATCCTGGCGAAACCATCAATGCTGAATCATACTGTAACCAAATTAATACCATGCATCAGAAATTGGCAGTAATGAAGCCCTCTTTGGTCAATCGGAAAGGGCCCATTTTGTTGCATGACAACGCTCGACCACATGTGTCACGTGTAACGTCACAAAAATTATTGGAGCTTGGCTATGAAACTTTGCCTCACCCACCCTACTCTCCGGACCTCTCGCCTACTGACTACCATTTTTTTAGACACCTGGACCACTACTTGCAACACATAATATTCAAAAATCAAACGGAACTGGAAAATGCATTTATTGACTTTATCAATTCTAAAAATTCTGAATTCTACTCAGACGGAATTAATAAGTTACCAACACGTTGGGAGAAATGTATTGAGAGTATGGGAAATTATTTTGATTAAAGAACATTGCTTTAAAGTAACTAGTTTCTTTTTTTTTGTTTAATACCAAAATCCTGCATTATTTTCCGGACAACCCAATACTTTAAACGGAACGTGCCGATAAATATAAAACATGCCGAGCAAGTAATAAATTATAATACATTCCCAATGTTCACACAATAAATATGATCCGTGTTTTTCCGCCCGTTTAAAAAAAAATCCCAATATAAACTTTACAAGTATAATTTTTTAAAGTTAAAACTTGGCGAAATGCTTCCGTCTCAGCAATTTTGATTAAAGAACAAATTGCTCTCGATGCAGACTTTAAAGATGAAGAAAAATAGCCTCGATTGTTCAGCCAGTTAATGGTTGTAATTTGACCGATGGACTCTTGTAAAAAGGAGACTGGTATGATAAATCGATGATTAATCCGGTCATATTTTTTCATGGTTGACGGTTCCTTTTGTAATTAATCCTTTGTTCATTGTACACTCGATCTCCGCAATTTTCAGAAAAAATAAACTATAACAATGCACGTCGTTATTGTTATTAAAAAACCAGATATCTGATTAATAATCGCCCTGAAATTCGAATAGTCTTGATCATAAAGTCAATATAAAATCATTCATTCTTTCGAGGAAGGTAGGCTAGTCAAAACTTCAGCAAAGTCGTCCAGGTGCTAGGTTCTAGTAACAGGTGGTATTCCTCCTATTCAACGTGTTTGACTTGACTTACTTAACTTTACTTAATTCCTGTCGCTTACAGAGCATAGGGCGAGAACGAAGTTCTTCCATCCCTCTCTGTCATCTGAACAGCTCTTGTCCTCCTCTCTCCCCGACTTCCTGACTGTCCTCAGTTCCTTTCCCAATGATCTCCATGTTTGCCTCGGTCGTCCATCTTGCGGGTTCCACTCTATGGCACTTTTCTCGACGGCGCCTCATTTTTTCTCAGCTTACGTACTTCAGCCCGTATGGGAAGCTAGCCGGAAAAACCTGGAGAGCACTCGTCCTAGTTTTGGTGACTTTCCAAGTCTCAGATCTATATAATGGGGCGGACTTGACATTCGAGTTATAGAGGCGAAGTTTGATTCGCCTGGAGATGTTTTTGTTTCTCCATATCGGATATGATTGTATAAATACACAATTAGCATTCCAAATTCTACTCTTCACATGGTTCTCAGTACCTCCGAATTTTGACACCAGGCTTTCTAGGCAGGTAAAAGAATCAACTGCTTCAGCGAGCTACCGTTCTAGGATTTATTCTCATTTCCTTTGATTGTTGGCATTTATTTTTAAGCCTACCCCTGTGGCTGTGATGTTCAAGGCCGTTATTTTGGCTTGTAGATCGCTTATCCTTGGCTCCAAGGGACACGTGTCGACGGCAAAATCAACATCTTCCAATCTTTCCCCTATTGAATGCCTCTTTTCTTTCCAGGAATGCGCGTATGACTGCATCCAGTACCAAGATGAAGAGAGTAGGTGACAGGTTGCATCCTTCCTTAACTCCCGTGTGTTGAACTGTTCTGATAGCTTCCTTTCAAGCAACACTTGAGTTCTATCCATGATACGTACATTTCATCAAGTTAATGATTTTTGGGAATGCCATATCTTTTCAGAATGAGCCGTACTTCACGATCCATCGAGTCATAGGCCTCAGACACACCGGGCTCTGTTTAAAGTGTCCGACACGTTCAATACAGTCAACATTTTGAGATATAATCTCTTCGGTTTGTCAATTTCGAATGCCCTAAATGATAATATCTCTTTCTATAAACTTTGCAAACAAAAACCCTATGTCTCACGACGAATTCCTCAGCTTGTTATTTCAGCCAATAATTCATCTGCCAAACGAGATGAACTCAGTTTTTCTGACTAACAGCCTATTTAAACAATGAGTCACACGTTTTCATAAATTCCTGTCGTTCTTACGTACAAATTATAGCCATACTATTTAGAACATTTAGATAATTTATCATATCTCAACCTAATGTAATTTGTTATTCCTTTTTTCTATAGATATTTTATTTTACCAGTGTTTAATTTATTTTATTATGCTTTTTTTAAGGCAAATGATTTGAATGAACCTTACGTATGAAAAGGTAATGAAATTTAATCAACCAATCTATAGTTTGCTAATAGTGTTGATAGTAATTAGAAACACAAAAACTTTTTTTACTAATTTGAAAGAAAAACACAGAAACACCCCAAGTGATTAGATAAAGGAGCCGATGAGAATTATTAAATCTTAAAATTTATAATAGGCAAGGTCAAAATGACCTGGAAAAGAAACCGTGCCTTGGAGAACGCACGGACAATGAAAGAATTCCTGACGAAAACATTGACCTCGAAACGTTTTGACGCATTCTGATGCTATGGAATTTAACAGAAGGCTCGTAGGAAGGGGTCGCGATTCACATTTGTACAGAACCTAGATTAAATACTAGCACGCTAAAATCGATAATAGGCTGCCAATTGGCATCTGGTTTAAGTGCTGTGGTTGTGGACGCCGGTCGCCACAAGAGGTGTGCTATTTCATTATAAGGCATGTACATTTTTTTTTTGGTTACTTACGGTTCACGTGATCGATGTAATAAACGCCGATATTTGGGTCGTATCCTTCTTCCCAACCCAACGGTAGTTCGGTACCGATGCAATCGGCGAACGTCTGCGGCTTCGTGTACCTAAAAACGGGAGAAAAACAAATTTCATTGAACAATTTGACAAAGACGAAGTCAATATTTAAAAAACATGATTTAAATTCAAACAAATTACATGAATTTGTACATTGGTACACCGAGAAACACTGCGGTTATAAAATTAACATGGAACATATAATTCCATGTGTAGGCATAGCCAAACATATTTTGAGCAGGTTCTCTTTTCGGATTTTCAAAATTTACAATTTTAATATAAATCCCTCGAGCTCAGTAAACTCAAGAAGTTGAAAAAAAAAATATAAATAAGACAACACGGATGGGATATTTCACCGACCTGACACCCAGCCCAAAATTCTTAAAAAGGCAAGCTATCTATTGGGTTGTCCGGAAAATAATGCAGGATTTTGGTATTAAACAAAAAAAAAGAAACTAGTTACTTTAAAGCAATGTTCTTTAATCAAAATAATTTCCCAGACTCTCAATACATTTCTCCCAACGTGTTGGTAACTTATTAATTCCGTCTGAGTAGAATTCAGAATTTTTAGAATTGATAAAGTCAATAAATGCATTTTCCAGTTCCGTTTGATTTTTGAATATTATGTGTTCTAAGTAGTGGTCCAGGTGTCTAAAAAAATGGTAGTCAGTAGGCGAGAGGTCCGGAGAGTAGGGTGGGTGAGGCAAAGTTTCATAGCCAAGCTCCAATAATTTTTGTGACGTTACACGTGACACATGTGGTCGAGCGTTGTCATGCAACAAAATGGGCCCTTTCCCATTGACCAAAGAGGGCTTCATTACTGCCAATTTCTGATGCATGGTATTAATTTGGTTACAGTATGATTCAGCATTGATGGTTTCGCCAGGATTTAAGAAGCTGTAGTGTATTAAACCAAATGAAGCCCACCATACCGTAACCATTACCTTTTTTTGATGAGTTGGGGGCTTTGGAAAATGTATTGGAGCTTCTCCTTTGTCGAGCCACTGTCCAGAACGTCTAGTGTTATCGTAGAGAATCCACTTTTCGTCACATGTAACAATTCTGGCCAGAAATGGGTCATTTTTGTTTCGACAAAGAAGTGATGCACAAACATCAAAGCGCTGATTTTTTTGGCGATCGTTTAATGAGTGTGGAACCCAATTTTCGAGTTTTTTCACTTTTCCAATCGCCTTGAGGTGGTCAGCGACGGTCGTTTTACTGACTTTGAGTTGCTCTGCACCCACCACTGATCGCAGAACATCATCATTAAGAGAGGAAGGCCTTCCACGACCTTCTTCATCTTCAAGGCTGAAATCTCCCTCCCGAAATTTTTTAAACCACCTTTGCACAGTGCACTCATTAACACAACCCTCGCCCCAGACTTGGTTAATGTTTCTAGCCGTTTGGGCTCCGCTTCGGCCGAGTTTAAACTCGTAAAAGAAAATCGTACGAAATTCTCGCTTTGACATTATAAGGATGACTGAATTATTTCCAAGTAGCGGAATGCTACAGAGGTAAACAAACAATATCATTTGGAAGAGGATTAATAAGTGTTGACATTCATACAAATGAGTAATCCTGTAAACGTAAACAGAATATTTTATATAGATTTTTTTTAATGAAAACTTAAAATCCTGCATTATTTTCCGGACAACCCAATAATTGAAAATTGGGCCACTCATTGTATAATTATATCGATATTCTTAGATTGGTTTTTGTTTTTTCGGCACGAGATAATCGTTGTGTTTTTAAAACTTAACAAATTAAGATTTTAATCGAAGGAGCCGATTCGAGGAAAAGGCGAACGTCGCCGGTCCGTAGTGTCACGCCTAGTTCTAAGATGCAGTCAAAATTACTCGAATAACAGCATCCGGTACTGGCCGAGATCACTGGAGCCTATCGCGTCGTAATTCCCCGAATTCCTAAATTAGGAAAGTTTCATTCCGTATCACGTTTCCATGCATCAAGGGTTAAGGGTAATTTTCAAATAGATTGTCATTAATTTGTAACAGGAGGCTGTTTTCTAAGAAGAGCACTTTTTAATCACGAAAAGACCTTGGCTGGTACAACCCTAGTAAGCAGAAATAGTTGCAGTAGGCGTTAATGATAAATTGGAAAATCTATGGGGAATGGTGTGTTGCAGCATTTAGCAACCTGATACCTGATTTAATTTCTTTTTTTTTACCGAGGGTTTGGAACAGCAGAGATTGTATCCAACCCTCGAGGTCCCGGTGTTTTTGAAAAAAGCCCATTTGTAAGTATGTCGGGTCCGAATGCAGGGCCGCTGGATTCGAACCCGGGACTTGTACCTTACAATGATGAGCGCCGTGTCAACGCCTAAACCGTTGCGCCACCGACGCCCCCCTGACTTAGCTATTAGCGTGCCAGTTGAGGTACTGGAATGTCAGCACTAGACAGACAAGCGACTCAAAAATCAATCCGTTTCGCTTCTTTACTCGTATGTGAAGGTCTTTTACAACTTCGTTTGTCATTTTCACGATTTTCTTCACCCATTTTAAAAAAAATCACAGAATAAAAATTACAGACGAACAGAAAAAAAATGATTTTGTTACTTCACAGAGCGAAAAACAGACGATTTGTTGATCAATGAGGCAATCGACAAACTTCAACAAGACTGGATCTGGACCTCAGCGTTTACACAGTGCAAGCAGGGAGAAGGAGTTGCCAGTAAATCAAACATTTTTGTTTCACTGGCATTGCCAGTCACTGGCAACAAGGTGTTTATGTGACTGGCAAGATTAACTGGCAACGTGTAAATCAGGCTTAACTTTGCCACACGTCTGACAGGCCGAAACAGCGACGATACACTGATCAGGATGATCGGAAACACCAACAGGTCTGACAACCTGCAGACAACATGACGAAATCTCTCCATTTTGGAAAGAAAGCGGCATGTTTTTATCCACAAAGGTGGATCGGGAGGAACGAGACTTCGCGACAAGATCCATGGAAGTCCCCCCCCCCCCTAAAACGACGAGGCAAAGAGGTCAAAAATATAAAATAAAGGAACATAGTCTCATAACCGTGAACCTTTCGTACAAGCAATATTTAACATTTTTAAGATAACGTTTTGTCATATCCTCGTCCGTCGCTAAAAAAAATCTCACGCTTCACAGGCGATTCGAGTGGGCCGACACTTAAAATCTCACGGCGAATATATTCGCAGGTGGAAATAATAAACTCTGTATATAAATGTTGACAATGGTCTGATCAAATTTGGATATCTCTGGTATGGCCTATTCTCGCGTCTGTAGACGGCGGGCCTATCGTCCTGAAATCCACCGAAGAAGGCGTTGAGCCGAAACCCGTCCGACTACATCAACAGAGATCGAGAATAGAGGCGCGCACCAGAGAAGATCAATTTCGACAATTCGTTGACCTCGCAGGGCATCCATTATGTCACAACAATGCATTCAAAAAGCGAAAAAACTGTGTGGATTTTTTAATATATTATATTATTTCCTCATTATTTCTTGATAATTACATTAGCCAGAAGCCAAACAGTAGTTTTAGCTTGACGGTTAATGCAAAAAAGATTTTTCTTCAAAAGGTTAGATACAATTCGCGTTCGTAACCTACGAATCAACATTGAAATACATTGTACTCTTCTTTAATTTTTTATAATATACTTAATGAATTGTATTATCCTTTTATTTTATTGACAAATTTATTTCGAGAGCTCTTACCTCCCCTCTTCAGTTCCTTTTTTCAGGATGCAATCAATTGTATTTTGAATATTTCAACATTTTGGAATGTTACCAAAAATCGTTTTGGATCGCCAGTTTAATTTTTTTTAGATATATCATAACCTAGATGTAGAAAGCTTCCGTATTCGTTATAATGGAGTGGATCGAAGTCATGATAGCTCAAGTGGTTAGAGCAGCGGCGTATTGAGCCGAATGTCGTGGGTTCGAATCCCGCTCGTGACACTCACTAACTTTTTCATTGCAACCAATGCCTTACATAAAGATTAATTAATTGGAAGAAGTATTTGGTCAAACGGACCACGAAATATAATGGATTTAACAAGTAAAACGAAGTGTATCTTCACTGAGAGCTCTCCGTGGCCATTTCATTTGTCGACGAGAATCGAACATGAACATGAGATGGGGGGTCGGTGTCTGAGTGGATCGAAGTCACGATAGTTCAAGTGGTTACAGCAGCGGCGTATTGAGCCGAAGGTCGCGGGTTCGAATCCCGCTCGTGACACTAACTTTTTCATTGCAACCAATGCCTTACGTAAAGATTAATTAATTGAAAGAAGTTGTTTAGTCAATAGGACCACGAAATATAATGGATTCGTTATAATTATATGCTGAACCAAACCAAGATCACGATGAGCATATTCAACGATCGATGATCGACGCAGTAATTTTTTATTTTATCATCAACCTTTTTCTAATTATAAAACTTTCACTGATTGAAAAAATATCGATGTAGGGTTACTTTTCCCTACTTTATCCCAATTGGATACAAGAGTGGTTAAAACTGTGTAGCGTAATGAGGAACCTCTAAAACCACTCGAAATAAGAAAAAACTATTAGAAAAAAAGCCAGTTAAAAAAAATGGAACGTTAAAGTAAAATTTAATCGTTACTGTTCATCGTTCAGGGACATTAAAATGTATTAGAGGTCAATAAGACGAGGAGAAGTCTTTCAATGTATAACAGTTCGTTCATACAACCCAATTAATCCCAGACGCATTACAATATCAATTAATCAATAAGCTTTGGTTTTCACTGAACGAAGACTACACAAGTACTTGCCCTACACTGTACATCAATAACAAAGAGACAGACTTAAGGTAAATACTTAAGACTATGCCTAGGCAGCAGACTGACGTGGAATACCCACACAAGACTTGGGCAACTACGATTTGTTAATCCATCTTGACCGTCAATTCTAAACTACCTTATAGACCAATTTGGACATACGGAGTGGAACTGCGGGGTTCTGCCAAGCCATTTACCATCCAGCGTATCCAATCCTCCCATTCAAAAGTCCTTAGACAAATCGTCAAAGCTCTTTAC